ACTCGTCCCCTGTGGCCCCGCTGCCTGAGCCCTGCCTCAAGGCACCCAGCAAGGACACGGGGAGTGTACCAGCTCCTGCCAAACACGTGGCGTTTGTGGAGCCTGCCGTGGATGCCGGAGAAGCTGAGCTGCCAAGCCAGGGCAGCACAGGGACATCCCCAGGCGCTGTGCCCCAGCCTGGGGGCGGCAAGGCTCCCAAACAACCCCAGGGGGGCACAGCAGACTCCACTGGTGCTGGCACTGTGGTGAGTGGGGACCAAAGCGAGGCAGGGCTGAGCCCCACCAGCATAGGCCAGGGCAGAGCCGAGGGGAGCCCAGCCCAGGGTGTGGACACTGGAAGCAGCCAGCAACCCTGGACAGCCAAGCTGCTCTGTGAGTCCTACTCCTTCGAGGTGACCCCACCGCAGGATGCCGGGACGCAAGACATGGGAACGCAAGTGGACAGCCGAGCGTCCCTGGTGTCGGTGGCTTTGAGCCCCATGAGCCCCCAAGGAGGGGCTGCTGCCTTCACCTTCCCCAAGAGAGTAACGGGCTCCGCTGCCCCCCCGTGCCCAGAGCCCTCCATGAAGGACGCAGAGATGCAGGTGTCCATGCCTGTGGAGACCCGCTCGGTGGCCACTGGGCCCATGACGCCAGTGGCCAAGTCCCCGCAGACCTCGTACCCCGAGGTGCACGTGAAGGGGACAGTGGTGGAGGAGGAGACTCCGGAGCCTATCCGGGAGGTGAGCTGGGACGAGAAAGGGATGACATGGGAGGTGTATGGGGCCTCCATGGAGGTGGAGGTGCTGGGCATGGCCATCCAGAAGCACCTGGAGAAGCAGATTGAGGAGCACGGGCGGCAGGTGGTGGTGACACCCCAGAGCACCCACACTGGCTCCATCAAGGGGGCCCCCCACAAAGGCGAGGCCAAGAGGCAGCCCAGCATCTTTCGGGCTCTGCTGCAAAACGTCCGGCGGCCCCGGTGCTGCTCCCGCGCCGGCCCCGCCATGGAGTAAGTCACTGCCTACGCCAGTGGGGCAAGGGTGCCATGAGATGGGTCCCTGCCCTGGCACCCCGAGATACCCGCTGCCAGTGCGCAGGGCTCCTGGGGCTGGGGTGGGTGGTGATGGAGCACTGCACACTGGGGCGAGGCATCTCCTTCGCTGGGGGTCTCCCTGCCAGCCCGGGATCCCCACACCAGCCTGGCCCCATGGAGGTGTCCCAGGACATGGGGCTGGTGCCATGTGCTTGGTGGCTTTTTTTAGCACCAGGAAGCACCTGACTCCTGCCAGCTGGAGGTCACTGCTCCTGGGGCATCTTCTGCCCATGACACAGGTCTGGCGATGGCTCAGGGTGGGCACATGCAGGCCACTGCTGACTCCCCCGAGCTCTGGCCTGGCTTGTGCCCCAGGCAGCATTGTCACTCCCCATGCTGGAGAGACGCTGGTGCCACTGCTTTGCCTGGCCAGGGCTCGGCTGTGCTCTGACCAGCCCGTGGCTGCGCCCACGTAGCCATGTACGGCCCAGCCCACCACAGCCCAGTCCTCTCTGGCCCACTGCCATGCCATGGGTGCGCTGGAGCTGGGAGGACATGGCCATGTGGGGCACTGGGACAGATCTCAAATGGATTGGAATGTGGACTGGGACCAACCATGCCTGCGGTGGAGAGCTGCTCGCCCTCACCACCGTGGCTGGAGGTTCCTGGGGAGTGTGTCCCGATGGCCCCCAGCTCCCCCTGCCTGGGGGCAGCCATCAGAGCCCAGGGCACGTCCTCACCATGGCTGGTGGTGGGGATGAAGCCTGCCCTGCTGTTGGGCCTGTCCCACCACCCTGGTGCTGGAGAGACCCCACATGCGGGGCACGGGGACACGTGTCCTTGCGTGGGTCCCTCCAGCCCCGCTGGCTGCCCGCTGGCTGCTCTCCTCAATGGCAGCTGGGGATGCGACGGCTGCGAAACGCTGCCACTTTTTACAACTGGGGTTTTAAGGAGCAGGGGGGAGGGGGGCTTTTATTGAACCGTGTTCGCATTTTTGGAGCTTTTTAAGAGACAATTTCAGCCATGCGCATCCTGCCTGGAGCCGCCTCCTCCCTGGTGGCCCACGGGGCTGTGGCCCTCTTTTCAAACACTTTTCCTACGTTGCCTGTGCCCTTCTGGGCTGGAGAGCATTGGGAGCGAAGGGTTGATGTGCAGGGGAGTGAGCATCCCCGTGGCTGGATGAGCATCCCTGCAGCCAGCAGCACCATGGCATCTTGCTGAGACACAGGACCTGGCTCCTCCAGCCTGGCCCCCTGCAGAGGACCAGCCCCGCAGTGCCACAGCAAGGGGGGGCCCAGGCCTGTGCCCAGCGCCTGATGGGCAGGAGGCTACGGCTGAGGGGTGCTTGTGGAGCTGCACCATCCCCTCGTGGCAGAGGTGCAGGAGGGCTCAAGGTGCCAGGGGCACCAGTGCAGCCACTTCCCCTCTTTAAGGGTCAAGTCTTGCCCCCCCAAGACCCTGTTGTACATCCTGGGCTTGTTTTGGCCCAGTGAGGCTGTCTGACTCCCTGGCGGGGGCTGCGAAGGGCTCACTGAAGCACCATCCTGCAGCCAGGGCTGTGCTGCTCTGTGCCGCAGTGCTTACCAGGACCAGCTCTTCCCAGTGCCTTGGGCTGCAGGAGCAGTGCCACGGCCTGAAGGGAAGACCAGGAGCCCTGGGGCATCACTGCCCTGGGCTGTCCCCACCTCCAGCCCCACACTGCCGAGCTGCAGCACACTGGCGCTGCGTCTTCATCACCTACTTTCTTCTTTTTTTTCCCTCTTCATTTCTTTTTTTGGGGGTGGGGGGAGGAAGAGGGCGGGAGGACCAACCTGTCAACATGGATGTTGGGTAATAAAACCTTGCACAAACCTCTGCGCGGGGCTGCCTGCACCTCCCTCTCTTGGGGCTGAGCGGGACAGGGGACAGGGGAGCAACCCTGGGAAGGGACTGGAGACAAGAAACCAGGCCAAGCCCCGCAGTGACACTTGCCTCCCCTCTGACGCTTGCCTGGCCCAAACCAGCACCCTTCTGGTGCCAGAAGGGATGACCCCCAGCAGGCTGATGGCCACAGGACACTGATCCCCGTGGGACAGGTTTATTGCCAGCCTCCAAACACAAAATGACTGAAGCAGCTGCCTGAGTCCTGCTCTGGCACCGCTGCTCCCCACACACCTGCTCACAAGTCGGTGGTGGTGAAGACAGTGTTGATGTATGCTGTTTTGGTGGGCTCCTTCAGATTCAGGGCAGCCACCAGCACCTCCTCATCTGTGGGGTCTGTCAACTGCGCTGTGTCCTGCTGCAGGAGGAGAATGTGGTCAGAGGGGATGGGGACAGAAACGGGGGATTGGGACACTCCTTCCCAGGAGCTGGGGGCTGTCAAGGGGATGGAGAGGAGAGGAGAGGACATGAGGAGTCCAGGAGCCTGGGGACCACAGCAGAGAGAGGGGGAATGTGGGGTGCAGTGGCAGGACTCCCTGATGGGCACCAGCAGCACTTTGCACACTCACCTTGGCCCTGTAGTTGTCATCACTTGGTGCATTTACTGTGTTTTCATCCAGGGAATTCGTGCTGTGGAGAGTGGAGGGTGGGGATAGAAGAGGGGTCAGGAGAAGTTGGGGCCACAAGATTATGGCCCTGTATCCTTCAGGACCTGTCACAGAGCTCACCTGGCCACAGAGACAGAGTCCTCGTGGAAGCCCAGGTCTTTGGAGGGATCAAGCGAGAGGTTCAGGATGGGGTTGGCCCTGGTTGGGGATGGGTGGCAGGTGAGTGACCGTCCTGTGGGGTCAGCCCGGGGCAGCCACAGCCCTGCCACAGGGAGCCCCCACTCACCCCTCTGCGTTGTACTGGTTGGTCCCAGGGATGCCGGCTCCCTGCTGGGCCATGGCAGGGCTGAACGTTGTGGCCACCTTCAGAGCCTTCATAGCGCTCAGCTTCCTCTTGTAGCTGCACGGGGATGGGGTGGGTGAGAGGGGCATGGGGGAAGCCAGGCCATGCAATGGCATGGGCAGAAGCAGGATGGAGGGTAAGGATGGGTCTGGGTGTACTGGTGAGGATGGGGGTGGTGGTGGGAGGCAGGAGGGTGTGTGGGTGTTGTGGTACCTCCTGGTAGTGAGAACCAAGATAAGTGTCATGATGAGGATGAAGATGAGC